ATAAGCACACTTGAGGCCAAAGTAAAATATAAATGGTATTGAAACCCATTATCTCTTCAAGAAGAAGTTTGCCTCTTAAGCTTCAATTTCATTCTTCATTTATGCCGAACTGTTGTCTCTAAACATATTTCTAATAAGAACAAAAAATAAACTTAAAGAAAACTAAAGCTTAAGGTTTGATCTTCAGTGTAGTCAACACTCTCATATCCTCTGTTTATCTCATATAGACCAGACTCTTGATCATGTGCCAAGGTATACCACTCGAGCCAAGGCAGTTCAGAGTAAAATATATTGCATAGTTCTATTTCACAGGTGCTTCTCTATAACAGGGACAATGTGTATGGCCATTCATGTTCCCAGCATTGGGTGCTCTGGCATACATGTCAAGAAGAAGACAAACAGATAATTGAAAACAACAATTATATATCGTGAACCAGATTTTAGCTTAGCTTGGTTTTAAAAAAAAGTTAATGTTTTTGCCTCATGTAGATATACTTCATTCTATATGTGTTGTCCCTCCTTTTATAAAAACACATCTTACAAATCAGCACTTTTACTCATTTCTGACAGATGTCAAGAGTTCTTGGTGTCAGCATTTTCCACATCATTACGATATGGTGTGTCAGAAGTGTGACCCAGACAATAGCCGGTCTCAATCCAGGTCAGAGGTTAGAGTCCGGTTCACCAGAGTTTTCTTGTCTACTTCCTGCAACACTACCGCAAAGTGTGCCGTTCAGGCTAAGAAAACACTAAAACACATTTGTAAAAACACAAACACATACACATTTTCATGTGATCTTCCATCAAGGCAGCGGACTTCCACCCAACCAAGCTGAAAAAACAGTGGTTAGAGGGGGAGAGGTTAATTTGACTGGGCCTAAGTTTCCTCTTCAAGCGTTAAGTCACACAAACATCAATCAGTCAGTGTGTTCGTGTGTGCGTGTTCGTGTGTGTGTGTGTGTGTGTGTGTGTGTGTGTGTGTGTGTGTGTGTGTGTGTGTGTGTAGTGAAGAGGTACAGACACTATAATGTGTGTCACGGTCATCGGTGTGTGGAACAGGGAGGTGAGGGTTACAGGCGAGCACATTCGTAGTAAAAGCAGGACAATCAGTGTGTGTGTGTGTGTGTGTGTGTGTGTGTGTGTGTGTGTGTGTGTGTGTGTGTGTGTTAGGTAACAGCTTTTGTTCTCAGGCATTCTTTTGTGTCTCTGTGATATCTTGGCACATTAATAACGCTGAGCCTCAAAAGTATGAGCCTTAGGTAAAGAAGAAAGGCAGAGTGACCTCGCATGTCATTGCACCGGAATTATTTCTCATTGCTTTAACAATATTGCATCACTTCTCTAGCCAACTCCCTGCTATCTTCATTCAAGAAACGAAAATCAAGAAATCCTTTCAACAAAATCCTCACTTTTAACTAAAAAAAAGAACCTAGTAGAAAAACAAAGAAAGCTGGGCACATAAAACATGACATACAGTAGCATATTTATGTTCTGAAAGAAAATGAAAGTGAGTGTCTTTCTGCAGTCCATTAGGGTTAATTACAGCCTTGTGTTGGGATGCTTGTAACAGAGCAAGGTTGGTAATTAAAGTACAGGTAAGACATTAACTTACTTTTGTTAGCCATTAATCAGTGTTTACCTTCAGAGAGCTCTCCCTTTGTAATTAATAATCAGCTTGGACAATGAGTAATCACCCAAGAGGAAGTTGTGTGTACAAATGTGCGAGCTTATGTGTGTGAGTGTGTTATTAGCAAGGGGGTTTTCCCGCCGTTGAAGCATCTTTACTGATCAAACAACCCATCATCCATCTCACCATGAAAAAGTCAATAAACTAAGCGACAAAACAGAGGAGCCCTTACAAGAAAAATGACTGTAAGACTGGGGTTTTCCTGTATTTTCATCCATCTTGTTCTTGTCACCCTGTTCTCTCCCATCTTACGTTTATCCTTCTCTTGGCATCTAAATGGCTGTGTCGTTTTTGGAACGATTACATCTCTGGAAAGCCTCAGCAACGCCACTTAACCAGCACCCCACAACCTGGACTTATTTGTCTGCCTTTGTAGTAACTTCTCCACACCGCCACAAACACACATGCACACAGAAAAGGAGCTTTTCCAGGAGGAGATTGGTTCCACTTTATCTGCATATTTAGCCTGTGTTCGGCGTGCTCCTAACTGATAAAATTCTGCTAGTGTGCCAGGCCACTGCCAAACGCCAGAGCAATGACCTTCTTATAGGAACACATTTCATTTGCTTTGGGGGAAAAGAATAGAGTGAAAAGAAGAAAGATTAAGACATGAAAAAAAACTGAAAGGGAGGGAAGCTAGCCAGTCAAATGCGAAGGGAATGGATCCAGGTTTTATCGCATTTAAAACAGGAAATGGAGACTAAAGTGGACACCCCTGCTATGCGTTATTGTCCATCCCTCGCTGGGTCCTCCCAGCACAGTCAGACTGCCATTTAGGTATACCAATGTTGCACAGATGATTAGAAATAGCAGACTAGCTCTTCATCCACTTTTCTCTACCTACTTCTGCCAAGAGTCTACCAGCATGGAAAACACAATCATTATTATCAACCCTCATACACACAGGGAGGCAGAACACAAGAAGTGAAGGGAACAGGGAAATGTATAGAGGCACAAGAGTAAGGAAAGAGAGAAGAACAGACACAGGACAGATAAAGAGCAACGGCAAGACTCGTCCTTCAACCCGTTCTCCCATCATGCTGCCTGACTAGTCCCAGTGTCCGTGTTTAAGCACACATCCAATACTCTTTTAGCCTTAAGATATCTTGCTGTGTGTGTGTGTGTCTGATCACATGCCATTCTCCACAGCATCCGAGTCGCCCCAGGCCTGGCTCAGTCTGGCTCCACACAAGAGCGGTGGTTCACACTGTGATGTGTGTGTCTGCATATGTGCATGCGTGTGTGTGTGCATGACAAGAAGAATTCACTGGTTTGTTGTCTGTGGCAAAGACATTTTATGGTAAACCCTGATTACCCCTACCTACACAGTCACACAGAGTCACACACACATTATAACCATAGCAACCCAGACAACAGCAGTCAATGTGCAGAGAGGTGACTTTTGGGAGCTGTATGTGAGTTGATTGAAGTATTGGGCCATGATGCCCTGACAGCCTTCCCTCAACCTTCTCTCAACCTCGTCACCTCTGTGGCTCTGCTGTGACTCTCCCCACAATGGCTGCTGCCTGCAAACCTGCCAGGCTGCCAAGGACACAAAGGCGACAGAGACAACCTTTGACATCTGAAGCTGCCACCAAAAGACCAGAGACAAGCGGAGTTGGCAGCTCTGTTAACAGGCCAGAGACCCAGATCTATTCAGCTTGGTTAAAGTAGCCAAAGTCAATAGAGCACAAGTCAATAGTGCACACATACAGATGGACGTTGTGTCAAAGAGGTCTTTGATAGAACAATGTCAGACACACCACAGTTACATATATCAGTTTCAAAAAAGTAAACCGCGGTATCTCGGCTCAAAGGTTGCTGTCTTTGACCGACAGCAGTCCTGAGAAGTGATGTGACACATCCATATAAAAAAACTGACATTTGAACATGAAATACAGTATGGGTTTTGTATTAAAGACTAGATGACATTTCAAGAAGCTGATTCACTGGTATATGTTAAGGCCAGCCACCCACACATTTCCATGTGGAACATGGTGTTTTAGTGGGCCAGATGAGATAGCAGTGTTGGAGATGTATTCACTACCATGTGGAGCATGTGTAAGATGACCTATACATTCACCATGGTGTCACAGAGGGACTTTGAAGAAAATGAAATCACCAAGCAGGACTGCCAAAGTGATGAAGAAAATGTGAGATGAGACAAGGAGGCAAGGGGTGTTTTGTATGGGTGTACACGTGTATTAATCAATACATTCACATTGGTAAAAACAGGTAGCCTATATATTATTTATGTTATGACTCCTTTTTGTGTCTATGTGTGTGTGTGTGTGTGTGTGTGTGTGTGTGTGTGTGTGTGTGTGTGTGTGTGTGTGTGTGTGTACGCCCCATGGTGCCCCTATGGTGTGCCTGTGCGTATGTGTGTCACTCTTAAAACAACACTGCAATCATCATCTCCTATCAACGGTCATGTCGAGGATTACAGCTTTCATCCCTAATCCTACATTAAGGACACATTCTCATGATGGCCGTGACATCATCAAGGCCAGTCCACCACAGAGAGGGCACAGACAGGAAGCCAAACACCACAGGAAAGGATTAATGAATATAAGAGACAGAATAAATAATGAAAAAGAAGACAAAAATAGAAACAATAATAATAAAAACGCCACATTTCTGTACCGTGTTCGGGACCAGCCTCTGTTTCCGCCCACTATTTGTATTTTTCAAGATAATCTGCCAATGCTTCAGTTTCTCTGACAAGATCCTTTTCAATCAGCGCCTAAGACCTTCAAACTACCCAACATGTGCGCAGATGCACACAAACCGAATGCTGTCAACATACACATCACACTGCAAGGACTTAATTCTGATAATCTGCACATGATAATGTGCATTGCTATAAACTTGCTGTAAAATAATGTTTACCTTCACTGGCCAAAGTTGGTATATTGTATCCATTTACTCTAAGCTTGGACCAGGGATATACCAATTATAGAGATCAATACAAATGTTAGGCTATATTTAAGGGAATTGTAGTAATGATTTATAAACATCATATACATTTAAACTGATAAAAACATTTTCTCAGTATCCACAACTACAGCTACTAACTTTATTACTCACAATGAAACACTGATTACATGTTTTAATGTTTGACTGTAGAATAAACACATGGCTTAGCTAACATTGACATAGCGCCTTTTGAGTACCAGTCCTCTTCTGTCTAACTGTCTTGATTCATTTATTGGGTTTTGATAATGAAAGTGATCTAGATAATGCTGTATGTAGACATTTAGTAATTATGTTATTACTTTTGTAGTGTGTTTATACTGAGTTTTTTTTTTGATACCTGCAGAGACCCTGGGGCAGTCTCGCAGCATGGGATCCAGCAGGGTGTCCACAGGCTCTGGGCTCGATACCCAGTTGCAACAGTGCTGTAGGAAGAGGGCAAAAAGAAATGTGAGATTGACAATTGAAACTCTACATGTGGAGAGTTATATAAAATAACAAGTGACAACCAGCTTCCTCTGCTATGTATACCTCGTGAACACACAAATAAATATATGCCTAGAGATTAAAATATAATAATGAATGGGTTTGATGTAAAAATATATTTTATCTTGATGCTTCAAATGTATTGTTTTTTCTTTTTTTACTTTATGGAAATATAGTAAGTTTAATTGAAATTGAAAGCAATATTAAAAAGAAAAAAGAAACATTAATGAAGAAAGTGGGATAATAGGGAGGTAAGGGAGACAAAGAAAAAAGGGGGACAGGTGCAGAGGAAAAGTGGAGAGATGATAATCGCGAATGAGGTGTGTGCGAGTTGGGGGAGAGAAACAGAAAGAGAGACAGGAACAAGCAATTAAAAGCTCAGTGACATGTTGCTCAGACAGCTCGCTGTTTGTTTGCGGTGGAGAGCTGAGGCCTTCTTCCATGGTGCATCAGCGGGTGCCCTGGGGGAGGGTGTCTGCCCAGCTTGCTGACCCATAACCCCCTGCAAACACCCCTAGTCCTCTCAAACTCCCTGTGGTAGACTTAGAATTCTACTGTCAGAAAGAGGAGAAGACCTCTTTATCCAGTTCTTGCTGTCTTCATCTTCCTGTCTTTGTGCCACTCTCTTTTGGTCTTACTAGGTTTTTTGAAACACATAAGCATTCAATCTAATGTACAATTAATGAGATGCATCAATGCCACACTTCAAAACAACTCACTATAACCATGCTTTGAGCTTTATTCTCAGGGTCGGCAGATGACAGAATATCAAAGTGTGTTTTCCCTCCTGACCGTGCAGTGTGGATTGGTATGCTGTGGCTTGTAAGGTTAGCACAAAAACAAGGGAAAAGGGAGACAGGGACAGAGGGAGGCTGAGAAGGAATGCTTGGAGAAGACGTTCCCAGATAAGATAAAAGTTCAATAGAAGAAAGAGAAAATGTAAAGAGATTAGAATGTGCAGCTGGCGTCCTTCTGAATCACTGCTTATCTGCCCTTGTTTACTTTCACCCTGGCCCCCTGACAGCCATTACAGTGTTGCACATGCTTGTGTCTGCTTGTGTGTGTGTGTGTGAGGGTCAGTGATTGCATTACGGGGGGTCTCCCACGAAGATGTGTAGCGTTGTGAACCTTTCAAACTCAAACACACACACACACATGATTACGCATTTTTGCCCTCAACAACCCTGACTCCCAAGGTCCTTAAAAAGGGAGGGACAGGATAGAAAGAACTATGAAACGTCTCCCAACTCAACTCCTCCAAAAAACACATTAACACACACACACACTGCATACATGCAAAACATTCAGGGTCACATCACACTTCTTCTCAACTGTCATCCTTCAAGTTCACTCCTCCACACAAATGCCCACACAACCACACATGCATTCACAAACACAACCTACTCCCAGATATGTTGATGTATTTCTTTGTAAATACCTAAAGGTACACAGGAACAATAAATATACTTGACACCTTATTGAGCTCCTTTTGACTGTTGCTTGTTGTCTGCTTGAGGTTCTGTAACTGTCTACTTGACATGTACCATATTTTCTTTTGTGCCAAGGTGATTTATTTACTTACTTGTTTCATGATGAAACATCTGGCCCATATAGTCAAATACTTAGCCAAAACAAACAAGTCAACTAAATTCATTTGGGAAAAAAAGGTCTGTTATTAAAATAAAGTTTGACTTGTGAGATACATTCCTATCCAATCAAAATACAATTAAAATCAACTGAATCCGTCTACTTAATAGTAGACATATCCTTTTAGTCTTCCTTTATGTTTACTTTCTTCAACCCTATCGAAAACATGGCTAGTTATATAAGGGATACACTATAACATAAGCGCAGTTGAAGAGAGTTGAATAAAGTTCGGCAGAGAGATGAAGGGGAATGAAGGGGAGGAGGTTGGGGGGGTAGTGTTGGGAGAAGATGACAAGTCATCTTGGTAAACAGAGGAATTTTGTGTATTTTTAGATCCTTTGCTTTGCCCTAGATGTGCTCACTCTGAGCCCGGGCTTGAGGGCAGAGCGGTGTAGAGCCGCACAGAAGCAGTGGGGCTCCTTGACTGCTACATCAAGTGTCTCATTGTATCTCCTTTAATTCATTCAGTCTGTCTGGAGGAAGATGTCAGCTGGGCTGTGGAGCAGTAGGCTAAAGGCGGCTGGAGAGAGAAGGAGGGGAGTCTTTCAAAGGGCCTTCCTCCCTCCCCCTTCACCTTCACCATTGCCACCAATGGAGGCAGGGAGGCCGGGGTTTGAATAGATTTGTCAAGGCAACAACACACATGTGCACGCAAACTCTTGCATAAATGCACACACACACACAGAGCAGAGAGCCACAGTGCTGTGGGAGACCGCAGGCATAACAGCAGTCACATAAAGGCAAGGCCTGCTGGCTTGGATTAGAGAAGGGCAATGTGACAAAAGGATGGCACATCGCATCGGTTGCCTCTGACGCATAGCATCATCACTTCAAGCAGCTCGGTAGCGATCAATGGCGCCATTGAACCAAAGACAGACAGAGAAACAAACATGTAAACAGATTTGACTATCCCCCCCATCTCTGCTGCGCTTTGCGTGTAAGTCTGTGTGTGTTTAGGGAATTGTGCTGGATATGCAAACATGCATGGACCCCTGTGAATAATTTTAAGTCAAATTGTTGCAAAGTTCAGTTTATTTCACCTAAATTATCCAAGAACAAAGTACTAAAAGGTTTTTTAAAGTGGTCAGTAAGAAGCTAAGGCTAAGTGCTAAAACTAACCATCAAACTAAAAGTATGCTCTGAGGGTGGTAATGACAAGCAGGTGTCAGATGTACCCGTCTACAAATGAGAGATGCTATTTAGCCTTCTTTGTTATGTGTATATATGTGTGTCAGAGTGGAAGCCACACACACAGAGACACACACACAGTAATGGACACAAAACACTGCACTTAGCTGAAGGCAGGGTGATCTAATGGAGCCTTCACAAGGACCAAATAGGTGTCTCATAGGTGTCCATATCCACTACACATGTACGAGTCCCAGGAATACACACACAGCCTTTAAAAAGAGATGTGTACTCCCTACCTTTCATAAACTCCATTATATCAGATACCATGACCTCAGGTTGGTAATTTTTCATAAACAGGCCTTTATTATCACTATGTAAAAAGGGGATATAAAACAATTTTTTAAGGAGGGATGTGAAATGTTCCAAACATTTACAAATGTATCTTGTTGATATTTGTATGGAAACTTTTCAATATATCTGAATGCAAATTAAAAAAATGGGTTGTATGCATATTTGCAATTGTCTACAAGTGGCTCCATTTAATGGTTAAACCATATGTCCATATTCTTTCTGAAAGCACAAAAAACTGAGTCTCAAGATAACAAAAATATGTGCCAAAGTGTACAAAAGTCTTCTAAACCATAACACACACGACAGCCTGCAACCTAACTTCTCAGAAAGTAGTCCCGAGTATCAATTCTTGCTCACTCTCTCTCTGTGTCTGCCTCTCTCCCACCTCCAGTTGCTGTATAATCTCTATGGATTAGGATGGTTTATTCATGACCATAGTGTACTTTGTATGTGTGTGTGTGTGTGTGTGTGTGTGTGTGTGTGTGTGTGTGTGTGTGTGTACGTGTGCTCTGGGCAGGCCACTAGAGTGTGACAGCAGGCCAGCACAGTGACAGGAGACACCTTGGAGACTGTGACAGGCTGCCAGCTGTACACCATCATTCGCATTTCTCTCTCTCACTTACTTCTCCTCACTATGCTACTCATCTATCTCCACATACATCTCTTCATCTCTTTCCTCCATCTGTATTCACTCCATTCATATCCTACCTGTCTTTTTGTTTTTCTTTTCCACAGCTCTAACCTGTGGTTTCTCTGCGGCAGTCAACGGGAACTAAATAATTGAACATTTCTCATACTTTATTTCTTTCTGTCTCCCTCAATGGATGGAGTCTTTCTTCTTCTCCTTATATATCCCTGCCTTATTTTCTTTCTCTCACCTTCACTCTGTGTTTTGTCTCCCGGCGGTGACGTCAGTTGCCCCTCGTCTGACCCATTTGGCCTACATAACCCGGCCCAGCAGGAGCGGATCTCCAAATCCCATCTCCTCTCTTTTACTTTCCTCTTCTCGATGCTCTATCCCACCATCCAGTGACCTGGTGAACCCCGGAGGGAGGGAATTATCTCTGTCCGAGGAGAACAGAGCAGTGCACTGCTGGGGTGCCCCGACCTCACATGCCCCCACTCGTACAGGCACCCACATGTATACACCACCCAGGGCATTATGCAGGGTTCACTGCTAGCTCCCCTCTGTGATGTGCACCACCTTCTGCCCTTCCTGTGTGCGCTGTGTATTCTTGTGCTCTAGTGAGCAATCCGAGTGTTGTTTACGTTCAAGATCCAACTGTGTTTGGGTCATTGATATAGATGTATATAAAGATGTAAAAAATGAGAATTATTAGGATTTTTCTGTGCACTAACAACTGCATGCACTTGTAGTCATTCCAAGCTAGGCATCAGAAAACAGAGCCAATGATAGAAAGCCGGAGATCATTTGCATATTGGGTGGATCACAGAGGGACTATGACCTTTTGGTGGAACCACTGCACATACAAAGCATTGGTTTCCAATGTAAATGACTAGTGACACATTAATGGATTTAACTCAATCCTAATGCTGGCCCGGAGCATGTTCCATGCCCCAAAGCCAGGGACTCGATGAAATACTGATTTTTAGTCATTTAATTGACTGCCTTATTTGAGTTATTTTCCCCTTAAACAGCTCTACAGTATTTACCATTGATAGTTGTCTCAGTCTTGTTTTATAATTAGCATGATTAGACTATAATTAGACTATTTTTGACTGAAAATGTTATTCAGTAGTATATTTTTTTACTATCTATCTTTCTAGATTGAAAGAGGAAAATGAATCACACTGTTGTCTTTTTGATAATTAAGTTAAAGTTAGAAGTTCATAAGATAAAACACACTTTTATGTTGTTGTTAAATACAATTTATGTAATGATTTACATAATGAGTTTAATGGTCCCTAAGAGAAATACATAGAACATTGTTTTGGAATTAGCAAACAGTAATGAGTGCACTTTTAGAAAAGTGAGCCTTAAAACGTATTGTTTAGGCTGATAATTAAGAATTTAGGGAAAAGAGGACGAACAAAACCAAGGCTGAAAGCAGAATAAATCTATAGAATGTAGTATACAAGTTTTTGTGGTATTAAAATTCCCTTTAATTAGGTGAGCTCCTCTAAGTCAGCCAAAAATGGCTGTGGGTTAATGAATACAAGAGAGAGTGAATCATTTCCTGTCCCCTAACTCCGACTGGACAAAGAAGGTTATTGCAGATTTATTGTTCTGGGTAATCATCACAAATAGAAAATCACTTAACGTTCCAATTATACTGTGTCCCGAACATCCCTTAGATGAATCAAAAATAGGAAATGCCAGACAAGGAGAAGGGGGCCAGTGCAACCTTGAATCCCCACCACTCAAACTATCATACAGTACATACACATTCACCAACAAGTCACACACAGTCAACGCACAAACCACACAGTCCTTCGAAATGGGAGATGACAGAAATAGCAAAAACAAAAGGCAAGGGATATAAAAGAGGATGTTATACAAATAAAGTGAGTGTGTGTGTGTGTGTGTGTGTGCATGTGTGTGTGTATGACATTTGCATCTCTGGCTCTCGAGCAGCTCTGGTCTTCGATGGTCCTCATCTGTATGTGCATACTGAGTGAGCCCAGGTGCTGCATATGGCGCAGAGGTCACACCAGAAAGGGCAAGTGCTAAAATGAAGCTAACACAAATGCACATGTGCACGTGCATTCTATCTCACACGCTTACCCACACATAGCACATATAAACACATGCATGCATGCACATATGCATGCCCGGCCGCATACACACGCACCAGCGAGAGATGACCGTCTTAGTTATTCATTGACATGCACCCAGGGAGAAAAAGTGGGGTCTTGTTTTAAAAAATAAATATATAGCCAGCGAGGGAAAACATGCAAACAATGGGTCTCTATGACTTCTAAAGCTAGCTGTTGGTCAGGGGTACTTGTGAAGGTCAGTGGGTTGGTGCAGGGAGAAATCAGAGAGGAGCAATATCCAAGAGACCTCCGCTCACCGTTGGGTGAATTTACATGATGAGATGGGAGCTCAGGAATAGATCCCTGTACAGTTTGCAGTGTCTTTGTTTGCCTTCAGTCTGTGTTTGTGTATTTGCACGTGTGGTCATTTCACCTGCTGCATCCAGTCCTGTGTGCCTTTGCTGGTCTCCTGCAGCCAGATATTGTGAGCCGAGTCACTCAGAGCCACAGCACACACCTTTTCCTTCACCTCGGTTTCCCTCTGATTCATCTGCCACAAAAAGCAAATTTAAAATGTGTTAGTCATCTTTGCAGAATGTTTATGACAGTCACTGTTCAGGAGGACATGTTTTGTTTCAGACAACATTTGAACAACAAAGAAACTGTATACTGTAAGAGGTATGATAACCTCTATAATAGTAATATGACGCACCTATTGTGTCAGTAGATACTCTCCTAATAACATTCCCTGTCGAACATACACTGTCAGCCTACTCCCTGGACTAAGATAGCACTGGCCCAGTGGACAGGGAGTACAGATACAACCTGGTGTATAGCATAATGTTATGAAGAGAAATATGAAAGAGCTGCTCCGCCATAGCGTGTCCTTGTCACGTTCTGTGCAAATGTCCTTCCCCGTGCACGTTCAGATACCTCTGTCCCCATTCTTAATACCCTTTCCCTTCACATGTCACAGAGAATGTGGCTTCTGCAGGCCCGTCTTCCTATTCCCCTCTGAATGTCAACGCCAAGGAAAATGTCACGCAAAGGACTTGTTACCGCACTACAATAGACTTCCCCCACCGCTGGTCTCACCCCAAGGAGCACTGTACGCATGCCTTGGGAACGAGCAGTTTCACTCGGCTTTGCTTTAAGATAAAACAGGTAGAAAAGAGGACAGGACTTGCAACAATAGGTTAACAATCGTTTACATTTATTGCAGCTGGGAAATATACTAGTGGACTGGGTACGGGCATAATCTGTGGACTGAGTTTGGTGATTCCCTGGTCATCTACACATGGCACAAAAGCCATACATATCACTTTCAATGCCATTTAAAGGAAGGACAAATGTGTGTTTGTTCTGGACGACTGGACTGCTGTTGGGCTTAACATTGTGCTTATGGTTCAGTGCCTGAAAATAAAACAAGCAAGTCAGTGGGAGATAAAGATAATGTTAAAGCTAAGAAAGTGATAGGAATATCAGGGCTTAATGGGTGCCTTCATGTAAGAATAGGATAAATATTGGCCTCAAAGCCCAAGTGTAATAAAACAAAATAGGGCTGAGGCTAGTGTACAAAGCTAAGGTTTTTGGAAGGCATAGAGGGTTTAAGCTGTTGCTATTATAAATTGAAGTTTGATACTCACAATGGGCCATGGCTGGAGACATTACCAGTCAAATACACATTCACAGACAATGGCCATCTACAGCCAGCTAGATTGGATGTATGTTGGCTGTACATCACAATGACGGTGGGCATTTGAATATATCCTCCCTTGCCCAGACAAATTAAAGTGGGAGTGTATAGAGATAAATTGAATCTATTAGGGTACTAAGGACTCATACATCATACAGCTGATAAGGCTTCCACGAGACTGCTTTACTGGGCTGGAGGATAGAGCAGACAGAGACAAGCATAAAAAAGTGGGAAACTGTAGAGATAGACAACAAAAGAAGACAGACGCCGCACATGTATTCACAGACACATGTGCTTGCTCACACAAAATCATACAACCACAAACACACACACACTCTCTGTACTCACTCCTCATCCACGCTTGGTTGAAAAGCTTTCCTCTGGCAGAACTGGGCCCGTGGGGCTAGCAAAGTCAACCTTTTAAAACTGGAGGTGTCAGTCAAGGTCCTGTTTTCTGGCGCTAGCCAAACGAGCTAGTCCCTGAGTATAGGGGCTACTTGCAGAGGCCAGGAAACAGGAGACAGTGGACTGACTGCCCATGGAAAAAGCTAAGCACATGAATTCAAACCAGTCAAAAACATTGCTAAAAGTCTCAGCAGAAAAACTGAACATTTCAACTTTCCAAGAGGATAAATAGGTCTCTACTTGCTACTATTTTATGCCCTTTAAAACATCTGAGTCTGATTTATTTTTACTTTTGAAGGAAAATCAACTTTTTATGTGTACGGTTCACTGAATATCACTGGGATATTAAAAGTCTAACTGAGCTATAATACATCTGTTCACCTATGCCAAGGTGAACTGTGTGTGTATAAGAGTGTGTTGTCCAAATTCACAGTGGGTCACTTTTTGCTCACCACTAGCATCTTGTAGAATTGAATACCTCCTAGGAAGTCTAAGCATTTAAACCTCTGCAAACCTGTAAAACATGTAAAATGTCTAAAGAATGTAGGAGCCTTTGTTTGCGTGTGTGTCATGTTCGTGAATGTATCTGGTTGCACAAAATAGTAAGAATGGATGTAAGCAGATATGAGAGCAATGCTCACCAGAGGCGGAAGTTGGAGGAGACACAAGTGAATGACGGACAGCGGTCATACAAACATTAAAGTGTGTACAAAGAAAGACTAGTAAGAAAGGAGAGAAGCTGGGTTGTATGGAGTTGGATATGTCTGGACAGTGCAATAATATTATCTTAATTTAACATCAAGCATACAAGTGACTGGAGAAATGGTGGATTTTTTTCAAAATGGGATAACAAGACCTTTAAAAATCCTAAAACTGCTGCACTCAAATTGATTGGATCCAGCATTTGTGGATGTATTTTAATAAGTAAAGCTACTTCCACTTAATTTTGTTGTTTTGAAATACAACCTAAAACTAGTTTTTATTTGCACTTCTAAACCACCTTTATCTTTGATTTGCCATTTAAAGATACTCTCACAGTGTTGTATATTTGCTGAAATGAGGGGGGAATATAAATCAGCAACTCTCACCAAACAAAGTGTGTTTTCATGATGATGCCTCCAACTGAAGATTAAAGAGCAAAGAACTCCTCCTCCCCGCACTGGCTATATCAATCACTTGTTCTGACAGCTCTTGTTGCCGCAATGCTTACACACATATGTTAGCCTGTGGTAACAGTTGGGGTAATAAGGTTGACAAATAATGACTTTAGGAGAGAGTGCTCTATGCAGTGTGGCCTAAGACCACAATGATTTTGACACCACTGGTTCCCATGTTTTACAAGCCACAATGACAACCGTGGTAAGCTGCATGTTGAAAGCAAAATAAGCATGTCTGTGTCCTCTGCAGGGTGGGTGATCCTCATGGCTGACTAACAAACCAGTTGGCCCTATGCTCCCAAGTGGTCAGCAATGTAAAGCAGTCTCATCATATGACTCATCCTGTTATTATTTTTACACCATGTTATCCTGTGAATTAGTGTTAGCTATCTTTATCCAAAATGTTAATGTGCTAATCCACTATGTAACCGCAGACCGTAGCTTTAACAAGGCCAGCTGTTGTGATCAGTCTTGTATTGGACAGGGAGATGTGAAGAGAAACATGTGGAAATACTTGTTGAGCTAAAACCAGCACACAGATGTTGAGACATTTGCCGCCTCTCCGCTGGCCTTCCCTTTAACGCTAAAGCAGCTGGATATGCAGAGTAAAGTTCAGGTGGGGGTTGGACAAGGGAGGCTTGCGTATAAAACATTTCAAGAAAAAGGTTTGTAAGAAGGGACATTTGAATGGATTTGAACAGTATTGTACAATGAAGGGAGAATAGAGAAAAAGCAGGTGAGCGATAGACAGGCAAGATGAGCACAACAAAGGATATTTATGAATGCTCCCCAAGAGGAAAATACTCTTTTCCCTTGACCCTCTTCAAGGGGAGATCAGACAACAGGGTCGGCTACACAACAGCATAACTGACACGAGTGGGCTTTCACTGCACTTAAGACATAAGCAGAAGCTTAAGTGGAAACGATGCGTCCCATCAGGGTCCAAACCAGAGTCCTAAGGTAGAAGATAGGTTTCCTTACTTAATAGAGCACCTTGATGAAATGTTGAATCACTTGTCTGATGTACTTCATTATGTTTTGCATCATTGCTGACTCATTCTGATTCAGTTAAACTACCAATGCCTTTTTCGCTTCATGATTTAGTGTGCTACAAAAGGTCTAAAATACATTTCTCATCCTATTTTTGACACCCTTTTTTCGAAACACTATCTCAAACTGTGATTCAAATGTAGTTTGATCGCAATACACATCACGTTCACATTCCTCTGAACCATGATAACAAAGCTGAGTCACAACTGATGACGCAGCCTTGAGTTCACCCCCACCCAATTTACATTCAAACTCTGGATGAACTATGAAATCCCTCTCACTTCCCCCCCCCCCCCCCGCCCTCATCTCTGATTCTTCCTCATAAACTATTTTTTCTTCTGACTTCTCTGCATAGGGTCTGGTTGCTATAGAGACCTTCACACATCACAGCTTTCTGACCCCCTCGTTGGCACATTTCTACATAATCCAGCTTTTCACAGGCTCTATGGCATAGTCATCCCCCACGCATTTGGACCCACTCACATGCACATGCAGAGACTTTTCTCTAACCCCTGTATCTTGTACCTGACCTCTCACATGGCCCTCAGCAAAGTACAGTGTTTAGCGCTTTAAGCCGATTCCTTCCACAAAGCCAGCTAATTGCTAGACTTTTTGTTGTGTATAATCGTATTTATCATGTATGTGATATGCGATTGGTGTGTGTCTGTGTACGTAAGTGTGGGGTGTGCGCATGAAGGAGGGAAGGGGGGCATATTAATCATGTTTATTTATCTGGACGAGGAGTTGGAATCAGCGACGAGACATCATTTAACAGCATGCTAAGCTAATCTCTGGTCGAGATAAATACCTAATTTCTCTCCTCTCCCTGTGACGCTCTCTTGCTCGCGACTGCTCCGCTGATGCTACATCTAAACACCGGCAATAATAAAGACAATTATTTAGGCCTTTGATAATTATGTGTCAAAGGCAGCGAAAGCCACTAGATAATTGGGAGAAAACTGAATGGTAATCCACAATGGAGATCCCCGTGGGGAGAGAAGCAGACTTATCCCTAGAAAGAATACAGAGTGAGAGAAACAGACATAAAAGATGAGAGCTCTTTGAGGGGCCTTGCTTACAGTCAGATAGTCAATGTGAAAAGCCACAATTATACATAGAGAGAAAATGCAAATAGAGAACAGCAAACAAGAAAAAGGAAAAACAAGGGCTAGAGAGAGAATGACAAAAAATGAGGGAGATTGAAACAGAGGAAAACATTTTCAGCGTCACTGGGAGTGAGCG